CCCGTTTAGGAATATTTGACATGCTTCAATTTTACCAAACAGACAAATGCCTCAGGTCTCAGGACAGATTTTGTCTCCACATTCCAGGAGTTCTTTTCAAATCAGGTGACAGAGCAATTACTGCTTATTTGGAGTTTGCACCATGTCCAGATTTAAGAATAAACTGAAGACATTATGTTTAGATTTAAATTAGATCTGTCTTTCTCTCTCTGTGCGTGTGGGTATAGAATGTATGACTTATTCTATGTCCAAAATCTATATTTGTTTTACTTTTTATCTCACAATAAATTAGGCTTTTTTAATTGCTTCTGTTCTGTATGTGCTCTAAAAAAGTACTGGCCATATTTTACATTCCAATAAAACAATACTTCACTCGTCAGAATTATCATCACGGGACACATGGTCTTTACTGACCACTGTAAATAATGACCGTGTTAATACGTCATGTGCAGTGGGCCAACACAGGATAGATGGCACCGAGGCATTTGGGTTCTTGGAAGCAAAATTACGGTTATGCCACAAAGGGTATGCTTTACGACAGGTGTTATCTGACCCCCAGAAAAGTAATTAGTTTTTTTGTCTTAACCGTAAACGTGACAGAGTCATTGTCGGTGCCGTGGCTCTCGCCTTCCAGGTCAGGCAGTAATAGAAGTGAAGTGCCCCGCCCCTCCGTGCGCCCCATTAGCAGGCAGCCAGCACACCCACCGCACGGAGCGAACCCAGTAAGCCGTCGCTAAAGAAGAAGATGGCAGAGCGGCAGCAACAGAAACACGAAGGAAGGGTAAAGATCGGTCATTACATCCTCGGCGACACGCTCGGAGTGGGAACATTCGGGAAAGTGAAGAGTTAAGTAATGTTTTTGTGTCATGCCGAGCATAACGTGTACGTTTGTGCGTCTCAGTTGGAGTACTGTGAAGTAGTCGGCGTGCCTCCCCCTAAATGGACACTGTTGAAATTGCCGGTGAGCAATTTGCGTAGCTCGATAGTTTAACGACCGCAGCAGAAGGGATTTAAGCCGTAAGCATGTTCTGGGAATCCGGCGGCTCGGATTTTTTCCCCGAAGCCCCGATCTGTGGCTACTGTTATCAGCAAAAGGCAGGTGTAACTACTTACCTGGAGGACAGTAACGTTAGCTGCAAGGAGATGCACAGTCATACTCACATAATCATCCAATTACTTTATACAGTGAACAGTTTATGTTACGGGAGATTCTTTGCCCTGTCGTACGGCCAAGACTATATTTGAACCTCACCGGTTGCCCGAAATCCACAACGTGAGCACAATGTTTTGAACTGGCCAAATGTTTGTAAACGGTGTGACGTTAGCTAGTCCTTTATGTTACCCTATTGCTAGGCAGTGGTAGCTTGTTTAGGGGCTGTTAAATCGGGAAAAACATTTACGGGCGTTATATTTCACTAGAGAAGAATATCACAGGATAGTTTCTGGGGTTTATTAGCTAACTTAGTGCTCCGGTGTGACCTTGTGAGCTTTAACACTGCTCGCTCCGCCCGTTTGTGGTGTGCGCAGTCTGGGGGATGTATTAGCTTAGCGGGGTAAACCCGCCTTACATCATGGCTAAAACGGGCACATATTCATCTGAGTGGGGGGAGATCGTTTTATACATACGGAAGAAGCGTGGAAACCAGAATAAAACAATCTTCAAATTTAGATAGTTTTAATGCCAATTTGGATCACATTTCGCTAAAGATAAAGGATGCTTGGTAGCCCCTAGGTGGGAGTTGGAGTAGTTTATTCACCATTTATATCGATGTACTTAAGAAGTGGTAATGTGTTTGATATCTGTGAGTATGGTTTGGCACCTACAATAATAGCTTTGGTCTCAGGCATATAGCTTCCTAAACAAAAGCATGACCAGCGAGTTAGGACTAGAGTAGGGCCAAAAACACAATGAAAAGCAGTGTGTGCTTTTTTTTTGTTCAGTATCTGCTTCATATCTGTATTCTTTTTCTAGTTGGAGAGCATCAGTTGACTGGCCATAAAGTAGCTGTAAAGATCCTAAACAGACAGAAGATTCGCAGTCTCGATGTCGTGGGGAAGATCAAACGAGAGATCCAAAATCTCAAACTATTCAGACACCCACACATCATTAAGCTGTAAGTGGAGAAAGAGGACATGTTCTTCAGCCAAGTTTTTGGTGACAGACTGCATTAGGAGATAATTCAGCCATGTTAAGTTGGTGGCTGCTGTGTTGTGTTCCCTCTGTGTTGTGGCATGCTTTGCTCGTTCCTGTTTGTTTACTACAGCTGCATTGTACTGTGCATGCCCACAGGGCTCCCAGGAGTTAGAATACACAAACATGCCAACACATAAGCTTGGAGCTAGATAAAGAAGTCTGTTCTGGTTTGTATGAATCTGCAGTTAAAATCATACATAACTATAATTTCCACATGGCCAAATCCTTGTCCTCCTTCAGGTGTCTTGGCTCCTCTTGTTTATTTTTCTTTGACCTTGTCTTCTTTCTTTCTCTTTCCTTCTGCCTCCCTGGCCTCTTTCTCTTTGTCAGTCCATATCTCAGTGTCTCTCTCAACAATCTGTGTGTTATTTTTAGGTCAGGGTTATGGGTTAGTCTACTGTCACACTGTAAGCTGGGGCAGATATATGAGCTCTCAGGTTGTGAGCAGAAGTGCTATGCAACACACTGTCACAGACATATGGAAACACATATTTTAGGTACAAACACACACAGGGCCTGTGTGTACTGCAACACACAGCTACAGACATGGACACAAAACTGAGCAAAGCATATTGGGTGATATATTGGCCCTGTTTGTAAAACCATCATGAAATGAAACCAGTTAGCCCAAATGTCTTGTATATTTCCCTGAAGCGATCTCCTTGCTTAGATTTCCTATGAACTCTTAGTGTGTATGTAATACAAAAAAAAGAAAAAGATTGTGATTGGATTTGAGTTTCATTCTCTCATAGTGCCGGCCCAGTTATGCTACACCTTGCCTGAAGGGAATGAAACAGATTATGATGAAGTGCAGAATCTCCCACGAGCAACCACTCATGAGATTGTGCCTGCATTTTAATATTCCTGACCTTTATAAAAAATAATGCTCACACTTCACAGCCATATATCACAGCTAGGGCTCACCTTTCTGTTTGTTTCTGTGTATTTAAGCCGTACATGTTTGGCATAAATAAAATGGTTTAGACATAATGGCCTATTATTTATATTTTCATAGTTAAGCGTAAATTAATGTGAAGTAAGTACATGTCCGCATAAATGTATGTTTTTGTTTTAGGTACCAGGTGATAAGTACACCCACAGATTTCTTCATGGTTATGGAGTATGTGTCTGGAGGTGAGCTGTTTGACTACATCTGCAAATATGGACGGGTAAGATTTTTCATGTTGTCTGGTTCAACAGAGTCTCCATCTACTGGGTGCAGTGGTTGCTACATCATCAGAAATCATTAGCTCAAGTGCCGTAGCTGGGGTAGTGTGTTTTCCTACCTTTTATTAAAAACATAATTTTTTTAATTTTTGGCAGTTGTTGGGATCAAGTGATACAGTACTCTGATCTTGGTGTTTCCTTGACTTTAGTGGCCCTGTACATACTTCTAGATGCTATTTGCATTTTTAATGTTGCATTAAAAAGAGTTTTCTTTAAGGAAAGTTCTCCGAGCATAGTTACTCTTTTTGAGCTTATGTATTTTTACTCTCTAAACTGACTTCAAAATATTGTCTTAATGTTGTTTAAATCGGTACTATCAACATGAGAACAGGAACAATAAAATATCTAGGTTACATGTTCTTGCTTTTGCTACTCTTGCAAACTTCTTAGTGATATGATTTATAGTTTGTCATGAACATTTGTGTTCCCACATGCCTTCACTGCTCCGCTGTTCCGAGAGCTGTAAATGATTATTTCATCTGCTGCTTCACTCACCTTTAAATGCTCATTCCATGAAACAGGGTTTTACACACACACACACACACACACACACACACACACACACACACGCACACCTTTTGAAGACAGATACTTTACTGTCTTTGTTTACTGATGTTGGTTTGTTCACAGCATAACTCAAAAAGTAATGAATGGATTTAGATGAATTTTTTAGAGAGGCAGACTATGGCTAACGGAACAGATTCGATTTTGGTGCTGATCCAGATCATCGTTCATATCCAGTAATTTTTATAAAGGATTCTTCCCCATTGTGAGATAGAGCCAGTTCAGTCACATGACTGGTACAGAGCCCTGGAGAGTGATAAACCCTTACAACATGGCAACTAACGTGGGACACTTGATAGAACTGCAGCACAAGCCTGTTAGTTTTCTAGTTAATGGGACACTTGATAGAACTGCAGCACAGGCCTGTTAGTTTTCTAGTTGTGTGCTATTCAGCGGCTTGTTGGTAGGAGCAAAGGGATCAAGTTGTACCTAACAC